AGAGCCGATGCAGAACCAGATCACAGAGAATAGCAAAATACGTGGACAAAAATGTAATTTGTTTTCTCCATGCAGATTTTGTACCAATTATCCACCATGTCTTTAAGCTTCCAGCCTTGTGTTGATGTACCCTGATGTATTGGACTAAAATCGGGATCTTTCCACATATTACATCATTTTTTTTTCTCTCTTGCAGATCATATGTGCTTCGCTTTTTCCTTTCTTTTTTGGAATAGACAAATAGGTTTTGAAGACTACATGCTTATGAACGACCATTTCTATTATGGATTATCAATTCACCTATCTTCTATTTTTAACATACTTGGGAGCTCAGTTATAAGTCTTGGTAATAGTCTTGGCAAAAAAAAAAAAAAAAAAAAAAAAAACTTTGGAGGAATATTTTCCTGATCCTTACAACGAACCATCAACTTTATTATAATAATTACTTATTACTCAAACAATGCCTGCCAACTCCTCATGTGTCTATGAATGGCACTTAGTCATTGGCAATGCTGATCAGAGCCATTCCCACCACCCAGAATAACAAGTCATGCTCTGGATTTCAAACTTGATGAACATACAAAATATACATTTGGAAACATTCCTATTTTTAATGTTTTTGAATGAAGACTTTCAAAAAAGAACACTTCTTTGAAAAAAGTCTTGTTTGAAAGAAGACTTTTATGTTCATGCTCATTTGTTTGATCAAAAATGCTGAAAAAAAAATAACATTGTGAAATATTATTAAACTTATAATAATATGCTGATTTATTATCAATGTTGGAAACAGTTATGTTTCTTAATATTTGTTATAACCTTTGATTTTTTTTTTCGGGATTCTTTGATGAATAAAGTTTAAAAAAGCTAAACTTTTTTTAAAAAAGAAATCTTTTGGAACAATGTACACTACCGTTCAAATGTTTGGGGTCAGCATTTATTTATTTATTTATTTTTTTGAAAGAAATTTTTTATTCAGCACGGATGTGTTACATTGATCAAAAGGGACAATAAAGACTTATCCAAAAACAGTAGTATTTGTAAAAAAAAGATGGTGGGTTTGCTCCTCCGCCATGGCACTCGCTTGCATGGCTGGAAAGACCTCTCAGCCAATCAGATTCAAGGAACAAAATTTACTGTTGTCTATAATATAATATAATATAATATAATATAATATAATATAATATAATATAATATAATATAATATAATATAATTAACATAGTAGTTCTTGAGAAGTAGAGCAATCTTTACTGAACATAACCATTATATAAGCCAGCGAAAATGCTCTGAACACTTTCCCTTCTATATTCAGAAATGGCTCATAAAGCACTTGGATAGTAAACTCCTTTCATGATAAGCAAAATGTCCTTTTTATTATGGGATGCTCAATGTGGTTTATTGTGTGTCAGACAGAACGGGGTTTTATGCATCACATTAAATAAACTCATAACAGTTATTTAAACAGATTTTTAAAAAGTACATTACCCAAAAACTGTCATCTGATGTGTTATGCATTTACACATGGTTGAGAGAAGGTGCACAATTTTCTCATTTCAATTAACAGTTTGAAAATACAAACACTAGCATGAAATTGGACGTTTACGCCAGAGCCGCTTTTCGAATGATTCATTCTGCTCGTATACATCCACGTCCCAACGTGTAAATCCACGACCTCGCCGGAGAGAAGCTTCCTAATCAGTGTGTCTGGATACGGCTACAGTGCTGAGTGCTTGAGTTAAATCAAGAGGAATCAGGAACTAAAGGAGGAATCTCAGAGGGGATAAGGACTCACTGAATCCGAGTACAGATGGGGTCTTGCATGAATGTGTGTGAAAAAAGCTGTAGGAACTGTTCTGTGCATTGAGAGCATGAGGGGATGTCTGTTTAGCTACTACAAACTTCACAGTGGTGGTCAAAATAAAAATGGACATGCTGAGAGCCTGCAGTGTAATTCCCCAAAGGCTTCTCTTATAAATAGGCAGGGCACTAGTGTTAAGGCATTCAGAGTGTTCAGAGCATTTTCGCTGGTCCATTATGGAGGGAGGAAATGTCCACTAGCGAAGACATTTGCTTGCTCCACACCAGTCTCAAATCTAAACCTTTTTCCTCTAATTTGTCTATAGTAAAATTTCATTTTAAGGGGACCTACTATACCCAAAGTCTTGATGTTGGTGTTGACTCTCCTAGAATATGGTTTTCAAGTTTAATTGTTCAAAAACACATTATTTTTTCACATTATTGCAGCACCTCTCTTCGCAGTCTGTCAGTAACACTCTGGGGTGCGATTCCCGAAAGCATCGTTAGCCAACTATGGTCGCAAGTTCCGTCGTTATCAGCATAGTTCAACGAGTCGGCATCGTTTCAATATTGCATGACATTTGGAGGTAATAAATCCTTATATTTAGCAAAATAAGCAAGCTGACATTTAGCACAACCGGTGTCTTTTATTTAGAATACATACAAATGGAATTTACATCTTTTAGTTTGTCAAAAGATTTGAAGTAACGTGTTTGAAGAGTGCGCATGTGCGAACGTGATAACTATGTAAGAACGAGCCAAATATTGACTCTGGTAATAAAGCAAAACAACTGAGAACAAGTAGAAATAGTCCTCAGATGACATGTCTGTAATTTATATAAAACAAATCTAGCGTTAATTGGATCTCAAACAGTTTCATTAAAGGTAGTTATTACTCCACCACGTGCGAAACCAACGTGGTTGAACGATACTTTGCGACAGTGGGTTTCGGGAAACAGCTGTGACTAGCTAGTTGATTTTTCCAACGATGCATCGAACTATGGTAGTGAATCAGCGAACTACGTCGTTGTACGGGAAACGCACCCCTGTTTAGTTCCTGTCCCAATGAATAAAGCCCCTCCTCCTGAAAAGCGCACTGTGCTCTGATTGGTCGGCTGGACCCGTTTGTTGTGATTGGTCAACTGCTCTGAGCGTGTTTCAGAAATGTCACACGAGTTTCAATACGCTACTAAAGCAACTCAACCAGGCCTTGTCCCTTTTTGATGCCTTTGGTGGTAATTACTGTATTTAAATGAGGAATATTTTGACTTGTACATTCCAGGAATAAAACTCAAGACTACAATTGAGGCGTTTCAGGGAGTTTAGAAACAGAGCTGATATAGAGATTAACTCCTTTGGAGTGACTTTGTGATTTGTTGCTCAAATAGCAACATTACCAGGCCATTCTCACCCCCAAGGCGTCACTTAAGAGACGCCTTGGGAAGCATTTTGACATGCTTCAATATCTGACGCTTTAGGCGCCCTTTAGCGTCAGTTAGATGACGCCCTAGGATCGCGTGTACCCTACCCCCACCCCACACCTAAACCTAACCACGTCCTCTAACTGACGCTTTCCTTTAGCGTCAGTTAGATGACGCCGTAGGATCGCGTCATGTAAGTGACGCTAAAGGGTGCCTAAAACGTCAAATATTGAAGCATGGTCAAAGGTGACGCCTTGGGGTGAGAATGCGTTGACATTACGCACTAAATATAGTTGAAAATGTAAACAAGCATAATTGGACCGCTATTGGGAAACAGAAAGATTCCAAAATAAGCCAATGATGGCGAAATATCCCACCAGACATTAACATTAAATAAAACACATAATCATGAACACATAAACAGATTTAATTATCTCAGTCTTTTTGTGACAATGAGATGAATTAAACGGATTTGGAGGATATAAATAACCGAAGCGTTTATCTTGGCATAATTAGCTCTGATCCCTTTTTTTTCCTTCCCAACAATTAGGTATATCTTGTCTTTCTCCCCCCCAAGCACAAGCCTCTATGGCGCCAGAGTGAAATGAATAAAACACAGCGGTTCACGTGTCATTTTTTCTAAATAAGGGCGAAATATAATTGAGTCAATGAGCAGTTAGTTAACCTACTTATTCAATTTGCCTCGGCTCGAGCTGCACATGGAGAAACTACACAGCACACTGGCAAGCCAGTAACATCAAGATATCAAACAACAGCAAGATCAATACAACTGATCTTGTGACACATCTCGGCGTTCCATTTTATGTACCCGTGATATGGAAAATAGGCTGGTAGCTGAGTCACATTGAGAAGATTCTAGCCTATATTTTTTCAACACTAAATGCATAGTGAAAAATTGTAAAACAAGACCCTGAAAAACACACCGTCATCATCACAGAAGCCTTTTTCTTGTCCTTTATCAAGTGAGTTCATTAACTCTCCACTTACACGGCCCATGGCAGTGATCTTTAATGCAATAAACCAGGCAAGGAGATATATTTCAATCAATATCTGCTCCCATGATGTTTGTCCAGGTCCCATAAGCATACAGCCTTTTTATGATGAAACCACAACCCTATAGCTCTGAAGTCTTTTCATATGATGTGCTTTGTCAGTCTAGTTCAATCTGTGAAACTATATCATTCATCTCAGACCGCAATCTGGTTCAACTGTTAGTGTGATGTAGCTTGGCCCATCTTGTCCAGAACATCATTTCACAGTCAGCAATCAATTATTCATTAACTTAAGTTGCCCCAAGGTTCAGAGGTCCCATATCAGCCCTCAAAGTGCTCTGATTCGAAACGCGTCTGCGTGACCAGTGCTCCGTGACAAAACTTCCAAGTGCAGTTAAGTTGCACAGCTGTAAGGGTCTGTTTCATTTAAACCCCTGTGAAATGAAGCCGGGTGGACCGGTTAATTCAGTACAAGTCCTGATGACCTAGTCATCTTAAAAAAATTAAAACAGGGTATATTATCGTGCAGGAACAACCATGCTTCCAAACATGGGCAATATCATTTGAGGCATAACCCCCAGCCCTAACGTCAAAGCCATGCTTATAATGTGGGTAGATCAGCCTAATAGGTAAGTCTCCGTCAACTGTGATAGCTTCCAAGCCATATTTGCATCCATATTATATCCAGCTTTTAACTTGCAGGGGAGGAGCAAAACAATAAAACCACGCTATTCATGCAATGCATTGAAGACGCACCCGCATTCTGCTTACCTTGCGTTTAAGTTGGCAGGTCAGACTCGCATTCCCCTACTGAAAATACTCAATATTCCTCCGGGCTGAGGGCTCGGTGCGCGTGCGGACGGTCCGTTACTCGCCGCTTTTTGAGATCCTGACAGCAGCTCTCAGGATTCCCTCTGTCCCAGCCACGCGTTTCCATTGGTCCGCGGATCTCCCTGCAGCACCTTACCGGGAGGAGGGGCAGAGAGATGCGCTCTTGCACGCGACAACATGCAAATACATCCGAAGAACGAATCTGCTTCTGCATGAATGAATATACAAGTACGTTACAGTGGTTTAGGAGTTGTAAAACGAAAGAATAAATTCAGCGCGTGCAATGCGATGACATGCTGAAACGGGATCTCTATAGTGCTTTGAGACAAAGGAGCACTGATGCTACTTTTTCCCCTCAGTGGAACAGTTGGAGATTAAACAGAAACGACATACTAGAATGTATGCTCATTCATATGCTATTTTATGTGTTAAATTTTATTTTATTTTTCTCTCTCTTGTTTGTGTTACATGATTTATGACATGATTTCTAAATGACTGACCGAAGAAATAAATAAATACAAAAAAATACAATACAATGCCAGTCACTTTTCTGAACACACGGATAAAGCGGGCTAATTAGGATAGGCCTACGTCAGAGGGATATAGCCTATTGAAGGAAAGGATTATGAAATAGAGTAATTGTCATCAGAACATGAGGGTTATAAAAACAGTGGGCAGTCTGAATTAAATGATACTCGCGTGTGGTGTCGTATGCACAGTGTAAATGGCAGAGTTATATAAGACTAACTTATACAATACAATGCACATAATAATGCAAATTTCTTTGGAATCGATTATAGCCTATTTTATCTGTCATTACAAATGACAGACAGACAGATGGAGGGATGGATGAATGGATGGATGGATGGATGGATATAGATTAACTGTAATGTTGATGTATGGTAGGCTTATTATTGTTCTTCTACTCAATGCTGCTTCATCTCAATCATTTTCTGGTCTTCACACTAGTTGTCATTCTAATGAAATAAACTGTAAAACTATTAAAGTTAAAAAAGTAATGTGAAAGTAAAGTGTAAGGGGTTTACAGTCAAAGACCCAGAACCAGATGAAGAATGAAGACTAATCACTGGACCTATTTTCTTTTTTTTTTTTTTTTTTTTTTTTCAGCCTTGTGGTTCCATAGTGTTGTCACTAACATTGTCATCACCATCCATTTAATATTCAAAAAAAAAAAAAAAAAAAAAAAAAACGAGTATAACACTTTGGGGATTTTTTTTTTTAAATCTGGCTCAGACACCGTTTTGGCAGCAATGAGTGTTATTTTCACAGCCTCCAGTGTCAACTCAGACTCAGTGCAAATGAATGCAGTGCAACTTTGCAGACACATTAGCAAGCATGCCTACAGGAATATGACTTCAAAAACTCCAAATCCAAGTCTTGAGGAATAAACAGCTACATATCCATGAAAACAATCAAACAAAGGAGGACACTAGAGTTCTTGTTTCTAGAGCATGAGATTTTAATTATGTTCAGCACCTTGGCCAGCGACCACAAAAATGATTACAAAGAACTGCTGCATCTCAGATCGTAGACGTACTCAGACGTATACTGATGAAACACTGCAAATCTGACAGCCAACAGTGATGTCATTGTAATATTTGCATACTATAGTGACTGGTATTAAACATTCAGATGACATGGTTCTCTCTCTCTCTCTCATTCTCTCGTGACACTTTTTTCTGGATTTTATGATGAATATAAAGGTTAAGAGTAAAATATTTGATTTTTTTTTTTTTTTTTTTTTTTTGCAACAATGTCTTCACGGTCAATATTTAAAGAGATAGTTTAATGTTTTATATGTTTTAGCTTACCTCAAGGGCATCCAAGATGTAGGTGTCTGTTTCCACAGTATTTCAATTTTTATATTGTTCTTGTCTATCAGTTATATAATGGAGGTTTATGGGGTCCACCTCAAAGAGCATGCACAGAGAAGTCCAAATTAAACATGATTTAATGACATGATTAACTAAGTACACATTGATGGCCTAAGACACGAAACGAATAGTATTTATATCACTTTTTACCTCTTGTAATCATTCACGTCCAAGTACTCTGAGGGTGAGGCTTCCCTCAAAAAAGTGAACTATCGCTTTAATACACTCTAAACAATGCTGGGTTGTTTTAACCTAAATTTGGGTAAAATATGGACAAACCCAAATGTTAGGTTAAAAATGTAATTTCAAATTTTAACCCCACTTCAACTTTCAATTGTAAATGTTTTAAATGCATTTTTTAACCCAACATTTGGGTTTGTCCATATTTGACCCACGCATCCTTGCTAAATAAAAGTATTAATTTCTTATTAATACTTAAAAAAAACGTACAGAAAAAAAAACTGTTTGTGTGTGTGCGCTCATATTTTTTATAACATTAAATTTTATAAATATTATATTTACAAATACAGAGCCTGGTGTGACTAGACCCAATTGCACTGTAGTGCACTATAATAATACAATTATTATATTATATTATATTATATTATATTATATTATATTGTATTATATTATACATTTCGAGGACCATATATCCACTAAAAGTAATCCCAACATTATAATTCCACTGACTGAACCAGTTAAAATATACTCTGAAAATACTTTCATTTATAAGAATCTTGCAAATAATATATTATATCATTGTAAAAACATCATTAAGCATGCTTCCCATATGAATCTCTGATGCAAGTTTCAGCAACAGTGCCGCCTCAATACGTTTTGCATCATTCATTCAGTACAGATTCAATTAAGAACCTGAGAGACTGTCCCCCACCACTATGCTCTATAATTGTAGATGACAGTGATATAAGCAATCAATGAAAGTGGTCATTTGTAATGGGCACAACACATCTGGTGGAGTGTAATTTTAGTAAGGAAATGATTATTTAGAGAGGTATTGCGTGGTATTGACTTTAATTTCTCCTTTAGTTTGAAGTTAAATATGATAGAGCAATGCGAGAGCAGCCCCATAATAATTATAGAAAAGAAGCCGCATTTGCCATTACATGGTTGAGTAATGACTGCTTAGTGTCTGACGGGGTAATAACATAAAGAGCGTTCAAACTCACACAAGGCTCCACACCTTCATAATGCAAATTCCATCAATCATCACAGTTTAGAGTTATTTCTAAATCACAGTCAGGCTAGTATAGCACTGGTAAGCTCATCCATAAGCTCAAAGCTATTTCAAGATTCATAAACATGGTTATATTTTCATATCATGCTTGCATGTTTGTCGCACACTCTGGGACAGGTAGCAGGGACATTGATATTTACTCAAGCTATCACATGGCCTTGTAATACACCAGGCACATCACAACACACATCTCCATCACACATTGTGTCCTGGCAATGGCAGGACTGAACAAAACCGAAATCAAATTTCCACTGAGGCTTGTGTCAAATCAGAGCTAAAGGTCACCGCTGAATTTAGTGTGCGGTCACAGCCTCCACCTCCCATGTGTAGTTTGAATCAGAGGACAGGGGAAAAAATGTGCTAGCTATTCCATCCCGGAAAAGTGTCCCCACACAGCTGTCCTCTACCTCTCTTGCCTGGGCCTAAACAATCCTCCAAAACGATTGGTTGACTTGAGCATTATATCATGCTTAAAATATCAGGAGTAATTCACTTGACAAGTCATCATTTATTCACACTCATGCAGTTACAAAACCTGCTTGACTTTCTTTCCTGTACAGTGCATGTACTCTCAGAAAAAAGGTACAAAAGCTGTCACTGGGGCTGTACCTTTTCAAAAGGTACACTTTTGTATCCAAAGGCTACATTGGTACCTTAGTGGTACATATTAACACCTAAAATGTACATATTAGCACCTGAAATGTACATATTAGCTCGAAATGGACATATTAGCACCTAAAATGTACTTATTATCACCTAAAATGTACATGTTAACACCTAAAATTGACATACTACCCCCTAAAATGTACATATTACCACCTAAAATGGACATATTAGCTTGTGAAATGGACATATTAGCTCGTGAAATGGACATATTAGCACCTAAAATGTACATATTAGCACCTAAAATGTACATATTAACACCTAAAATTGACATATTAACACCTAAAATGAACATATTAACACCTAAAATTGACATATTAGCTCATGAAATGGACATATTAGCACCTAAAATGTACATATTAGCTCCTAAAATGTACATGTACATATTAGCACCTAAAATGTACATATCATCACATAGAATGTACATATTATCACCTCAGGCCCAGTGACAGCTTTTGTACCTTTTTTTCTGAGAGTGTACGAGTTTTAATAATGTACTGATCATTCTTTTTGACGCAATAAGAATTTAAGGAGAAAAGCATTAAAAGTTATATAAAACCAGGTCATATGACTTGTAATATGTTGATGCTCTTATTTTGTTATGTTATTTTGTGTGCAGCACTTTGGTCAGTCATGGGACTGTTTTTAAATGTGCTTTATAAATAAAAGAAGTAGAACTAGAACTTTAATTTGCACATCTTCAGTAGGCTAGATCGCTCCCATCTGTGTTTTTTGGAAATTGTGCTCTCATGCTAATTTACCCTTGTTACGTCACCAGAGCACTGAGTACGTATTATAGTGATTTTTTTCTGGCATTGCTTGTGGTTTGTGTGTTTGTATTTCTTCTAACAGGTAAGTTGGCTTCTGTAACAGTTCTGGCATCAACGGCTGATTGGATCTTGGAAGAATAGGTTAGCGATGGGGTATCTTTTGTTTATTTCTTTTCTTTGGTCCGTCCAGCTCTCCCCTTTCTCCCTGAAAATTATTATTGTTTATCACACTTCAGTGCTGAGATGCCAAATGGCACACCCAACGGGTTACGGAATTGTATGCGCAATTTAAGGCCACAACACCATGATTCCAAGTGTGCCATTTGAGATCCAACCTTGGACTGAAGGGTAGAAGTCTTCTGAGAAGCTTAAAGGGTAACTAAACCCCTGGTCAGAGCCTGACTCCACCCACTGGCAATATTTGAAAAAGTGGGCAGACACTCTATCCTGATAGATTTCAATACTCACAATTCCAACTCCTGACTGGTTTTGATGAAACAAGCTGTTTTTTTGTACTGCCAAGGGCGTAGCTCGTACCAAGAGTGTGGTGAGCTGAAACCTGAGTACGTCACGAAGTGCGGAACATCCTTTAGGAAAATTCAACTGCAGTAGCCACCGTTCAACCTGAAGAGGGCAGCACTAAGACGTTTTTACACCATATTGTAGAAATAAAACACTTTATACACAAATGTGAAAAAAGTTACTTGAATCAATGACTGGTATTTATAAAGATCCATTCTTACAGATCCTTAAAGGGTTAGTTCACCCAAAAATGAAAATTCTGTCAGTATTTACTCACCCTCATGTTGTTCCAACCCCGTAAGACCTTCGTTCATCTTCAGAACACAAATTAAGATATTTAAGATATTAAGATCGCTCCTGCATACTAGTCCATAGGCTTCTTGAGGGACTCGAAAAGTCATTAAAGACATCGTTAAAATAGTCCAAGTGACTACAGTGGCTCAATCTTAAGTTTATCAAACGATGAGAACACTTTTTCTGCGCAAAAACAACAAAAATAACGACTTTATTTCAACTATTCGTTTATTTCTCCCTCTGCCTCGAGTCAGGTTACTAGTTTAATAGCGTAAGCTTCTGTTATTGTACGTCACACGCATCACACACATGACCAGCGTTGGCCAATAGTGAGCCTACGTGTGACGTAGCTCTAAGCAATCACACTACGTTAACTGACTACAGGCCCATGGAGAAGGAAGTGAATAGTTGAAATAAAGTTGTTATTTTTGTTTGTTTTTGCGCACAAAAAGTATTCTCGTCGTTTGATAAAGTTAAAATTGTGCCACTGTAGTCACTTGGACTATTTTAATGATGTCTTTGATGACTTTTCGATGCCAGCAATAGTCATTCCCTCAAGAAGCATATAGACTAGTATGCAGGAGCGATCTTAATATCTTAAATATCTTCATTTGTGTTCCGAAGATGATCGAACGAAGGTCATACGGGGTTGGAACAACATGAGGGTGAGTAAATACTGACAGAATTTTCATTTTTGGGTGAACTAACCCTTTAACTAAAGACTAAAAAATGTTGGTTTAGGGTTTAGTTACTCTTAAAGACTCTGCAAAAGTGCCCATCAATGGCACATTTCGGTGGAAAAGAAGGAGCTCATGAGCCTCTGAAAACTAAAATGACAAATAGGACTCTCTTGTGGACTAAACGTGCATGCATATGTGGCGGCCATTGTAAGTCCATAAGACTGCAAGTGCCCATGAAGTGTGCCATTTGGGACAGCGCCTAGAATGTACTTTTTTAATGGTCGCAAAGTAAATTCAAATTTGAATGTGGTGGTGATGGCGCAGTGGATAAGACACATGCCTTTGGTGTGAGAGACACAGGTTCGAATCCACTGCGAGACACCAATTGTCCCTGAGCAAGACACTTAACCCCTTGCTGCTCCAGAGGCTTGTGACCTCTGACATGTTTAGCAATTGTAAGTCGCTTTGGATAAAAGCGTCAGGTAAATGAAAACATGTAAATGTAAATTACCTATTTAGACAGTATGCGATTTTGGAGAAGAAAATATTTTAGAAATATTTTAATTTAATATTAATTTAAATTAATAAATAAATAATGAAATAATGAAAAAAGTAAACTTTTATGATTGTTTTGATGCTTGACAGCATAATAATGCTATGTTAACAATACGTTTATATTATAAAATAATATTTATGCAACCATAAAAAGTATTATTAGGCATTATTAAAGAGTACTCTTTATGAGACTGTTAATGCCTAGTAGATAAATAAAGTGTTATAGGATAATTGTTGGGTATCATAAATGTTAGCACCTTTGTTAGTGCTGCTCGAATCAAACATTTATGAGCTTGTCAGGGTGATTCACTGTCAATTTAACCGGCTTTTAGGAATGCTTTCTTGCCAGTAACCTGCCGGCAGATTAAACAGAAGTCTTTATGTCAGTAACCTATCAGCATATTGACATTTTTTATGGTGCAGCACTGATTGGAATGGTTCACTGGAAAACTGTTTCTGCTCTCTGCAAAGCTCGGTACAAGCAAAAGACGACCACAGGGAATAAACACTCAGGTCGTTAGTGCAAATAAAAAATGGAGGGAGTCAAAAATAAGAAATAATGCGCCAATATTTCACAGGGTTAGCCTATCTAGGAATTACCAGATTTCCCTGCTAAGGCCTGTGCTAACTGCAGCCTACTGAAATGTTTTCAAAATGCAGTAAACAATGGAAGAGGATGAAAAACATTATAAGAATGAATATTTCATATGTGCATGAATTATTAATATTATTCCTCTAAAAATGTCATAAGCAGGGCCACAACAAGTTCTGCACTTTAAATTAAATAATCACTTTAAACATTGTTTTTTTTTTTTTTTTTTTTTTTCCCCAGAGCTAAACTTAAGGATTTATTCAAGAAAAAACTAAATCCATGGGGGCATGATAGTTACCTGAGTTAAAGGATAAACTGTTCTTTTATAACCAAATGCACAGTGTATTATGGAGCATGGATTCAGCTTACTGTTGATATGGGACTGTCTGCTTTATGTAATCCATCTAAAACACTCCGGCCTTCCATTTAGTATGCCTTCTCAGGGTAAGGATCTGCAACATCTCATTTCACATTCTGCATGGGGAAGGATAAAGATCAGTAAATGCTAAAATTGATGCTGGATGCTGAATTGATTGAATGCTGGCCTAAGAAAAGAAAATTGCCTAGTATAGTGCTTTGTTCTTCTCTTATATTTAATATACATATACATATACAGTATATATACTGTATATATATATATATATATATATATATAAATAACATATTAATTAATATATATATATATATATATATATATATATATATATATAGAGAGAGAGAGAGAGAGAGAGAGAGAGAGAGAGAGAGAGAGAGAGAGAGAGAGAGAGAGAGAGAGAGAGAGAGAGGCAGAGAGGCTACACATACGTATATGTGTATTTGTAGGGTCAATAAAAACAGAATTAAAACATATTAATTAATAAATATAACATATTAATTCACAAATTAATAAATTAGTAACCTGGCTGCCTTAAAAAATTAAGTTTATTGAAATTGAAAAATTGAGTGAATACAATGAAGGAGATTGATTTAACTATATAAATTATTTAAGTTGATTTGACAAAGGAAAAAATGTTGTGATTACAAATCATGAAAATATATTTTTTTTACAGTGTATATATGTAGAGTCAATTAAAATAGAAACAAAAAATAAAACATTCACACATCACTTTTGGCCACTACTGTATACATGAATACATTTTTATGTCACTTTTAGTGTTTATATTTAACTGCGCATCCACTTCACCGCTAGTCTATAGGGCCTCCATGTGGTGAACACAGATAATACACAGAACTATTTCTCCATAGATGTTGCCGTCTCTCCCAGAAATCTCCTACAAATTAAGTAAAGGTTAAATGGAGAAGCAGAATTACATCATTGCATTATTAATTATTTTAAACCATGATGTATGGCTTCTGACACACACACACACACACACACACACAATCACAAAATAAGTTTTTTAGGTGCGAATTAAACCAAACTTGTGTCTTTCATTTGGGTAAGCTTAGAAATATGTGTGTGTGTGTGTGTGTGTGTGTGTGTGTGTAAATAAAATATAAGTTTGAAACAGGCCAGACTGTATTATGCATGTTCAAACGCTGTAACTCTCCATGACGGATTTGGCCTTTGAAAGGCTCAGTACAGAAATTCTATTTTTGAATCCATCCATTCCTTTTCCTGCACAGAGTTCCTGTGGGAGGGCCACTATAAGGCATGGGAAAGTTTCCTTTCCCTCATTTGTTTCTTTTTGTTTTTCTGATGAAGCGGCTGTGCTTCGACCAAGTGCTTTTAAAACTCTCCTCACACGGATAACAGAAGATAAACATAAAACAGGGTTGACAGGTAAGACAGCTCATATATGATAAACTGTGCTTTAGAGTTTATAGTCTATCGTGACAATGTAATGAGAGAGAAGCTATATTAAATTTTACCTGTTCTGCCACAATATAATAACTTTTTCCATAACCTAAACATTAGTGAATGGTTGACACATTTGTTACTGACTTTCAACACTTTTTGGGAGGGTTAGGATTAGATATATACTTTTTCATATATATCTTATACTAGATATATATTAGAAAAGAAGGAAAGAAAGAAAGAAAGAAAGAAAGAAAGAAAGAAAGAAAGAAAGAAAGAAAGAAAGAAAGAAAGAAAGAAAGATGTTTAGTGTTGTTTGATATAGATCAATGCTGATAACCAGATTTCTGACAGCGTTAAATGTCTGAGAACTAAATTCTATAAATTCATTTGTCTTTATAAGACATAACAGCTTCAGACAGTTCCTTGGGCCAACAAGTGAAGGAGCATAATCTATTTAAGATAACTCTATTGGCCCTGACGCAGAAGAATAATTTTTAAGAACAATTTTGAAAAGTTTAGAACAGATCTGCCTGGTGTGCATGTAAGCGAATGCAAACAAACCAGGCCTCCAGCCAAAGGAAATAAGAAAATAAATAAGCAAACAGATAAGAAGTTCGCTAACTAGCAATGGGATGTTTACACAAATGCGAATCATTTCAAAGGGGAAGACTGCGGCCAGAGTCCCATGGGCTTTCTGTGAAAAGAAACGGGCTTTCTCGTTAGAAGTACATGCTTGATTACACATTATTAAACTCTCTGTCCATGATACTAACTCTCATCACAGAGACCAAAGCTGGTCATCCATGCTTAATCCTCGCTAGCATTGTTTAGGGTCATTGCTGATGTAGCTACACACACACACACACACACACACACACATATATATATATATATATATATATATATATATATACATATATATATTTATATATAGGGTCATTGCTGATGTACAGTAGCTACACACACACACACACACACACACACACACATATATATATATATATATATATATATATATACATATATATATTTATATATAGGGTCATTGCTGATGTACAGTAGCTACACACACACACACACACACACACACAAGCACACCCTTTTTATACCCCTTTTTTATGTTGCTGCCTTATGTTAAACTACTTTCAATTTCTGTTTTTTATTTGAATCTACACCATAATGAGAAAGCAAAAAGCTTTGCAACTTTTTGTGACAACTTTGCAAATATATTAAAAAATAAAAAATCTGAAATAGTTACATTACATAAGTGTTCGTACCCTTTTCTGTTATATATATATATATATATATATATTCCCAATAGGGGAATTAAGCATGCAAAATGAAATACCAACCGATAGTAATATATATATATATATATAGTAACCAATAGTAATATTATATATAATATTGGCCTATAACAGAATATATATATTGGGTGGCCTATAGTAAAATTTCCTCACCAGTCATTTTACATTTTATGTCTAATATTATATAGTTCATTAAAGCTTGTTAATGTTTACAGCTCGGCATAAAATGGCTATACGGTCAATGTGTGGGGAATTTTTTTAACATAGGCCACACTTACCAATGGGGATTAACATTGTCTCACCTCAACAAATGTACAAATTGCCCATGCAAAAAAAACAAAAAAAAAAAACAATATAGCTAAAGTATTCAAAAACAGAATCTGTCTGTTCCCAATTAAATCTGGACAAACTGAATGATCAGAGGCATATTTCTATGAGGTGGTCTTAAGAGTGACTCATTCTGTTATGCTGATGTCTATCTGGATAATTTAGAGGAAAATCATCATGCTTCTATAAATGGTCCACATACTCAAGCCTGTATTTCTGCCTGTGCAGAGGATGTCCAGAGCTGATTGGGGTTTTCTGGAGCACCTGCTAGAGGAAGGTCAGGAGTACTCAACAGGCGTGGGGCGTGTGTGGCTGACCGTGCTCTTCCTCTTCCGCATACTTGTTCTTGGCACGGCGGTGGAATCTGCATGGGACGACGAACAGTCTGACTTTGTCTGCAACACCAAACAGCCTGGCTGTGAGTCCGTCTGCTATGACAAGGCCTTCCCCATCTCCCACTTCCGGTACTTTGTTATGCAAGTCATCTTCGTCTCAACACCGACCATTTTCTACTTTGGCTACGTGGCCTTGAGGACCAGAAACGAGAATAGGCAAGAGGCGAAGACGGAGGAGGAGGAGGGCAGAAGACAAAGACATAGAAAAAACAATGACTGCAAATTGGAGGTAATAAAGGAGGAAGATGAAGAGGGCGAGGAGAAACAAACGCATAAGAAGCGCAAAGCTCCAGAACCTCTTAAGCTCAAAGGAAAACTGCTGTGCGCTTACGCAACTAGCATAGTGCTGAAGGTTCTCATTGAAGCTAGCTTCATTGTTGGTCTATGGTTCTTTTATGGGTTTGTCATCCAGGCCAAGTATGAGTGCGAGAGGTCGCCCTGTCCTCACACGGTGGACTGCTTTGTCTCACGGCCCACGGAAAAAACGATCTTTACCATATACACCCAGGTTATCGCCGTAGTCTCTGTTCTCCTCAACGTTGTGGAGCTTTTCCATCTCCTTCAACTAGCAGTAACACATCGACTGAAGAAGAAATATCAGGCAGAGGATGAGATGAATAAACTGATTAGGGTGACTTCTTCTAGAACAGCATCAGCTAAAGAGCAACTACCATCATTCGAGGAAAGAAACCATCTCTTTCTTCCTGTAGCACACGACGGCTACCCTGCATCAGGGCTGGACTGGGACAAAAAAAATCCTCCCTTAACAGAGGACATGCTCCCTAGTTACTCAAATTGCATAAACAATGTGAAACATTCCACAAACAAAAAACATCTTCATAAAAAACACAAGGCGGAAGACAAACCGAGACATTATGAAGAGCACAAAATGAGAACCAGAGCTCCAATTTCAGGAACAACCATGTGTAAATGAACATTAGTGGTTTCTGTACATTGTGGCTCGTTTCCACTGAGCGGTACGGTGCGGTACAGTACAGTACAGTACAGGTCGGGTCTGTAAACCATGATCCGGCTTGTGTTAATGCCCCTGTAGCACGCGCAAGTGACAATATCTGTCAACCAATCACCGTTCTGCACTGAGTCTAGCTCCACCTTTTAGTACCATACCATTGTGTTAGGTACCCTAACGGAAGGGTACCCAAAAAGTGGTACGGTACGGTTTGGCTTTTTGGTACCATTCACAACTTTTGACAGTGGAAACGCAAATAATTGCGTACCGTACCGAACTGTACCGTACCGCTCAGTGGAAATGAGCCATTGGAGAGCTATTTCCTTTGTTTAAATAGGCAGGGAAATGGCCTGTGCTTTGGGATGAACTGTATTTTGTGATCTGTGGCCAGATAAGGGAGCCTCTCAAGTAGATCTGAGAGGCTCAAGGTCAAGAAATACTCAAACCACTGACCCTCAGAGAAACAAGTACAATGTCTAAGAATGCCAATGCGAAGTCAAGTGCTGAACTGTATGATTGATATGGTACAGATAAGGTAGTATAATAATGTTCTGTAACTAAGACCAAAATCAAAGTCTTACAATACCAACCAACTGTATGTAGGCCTACTATATTTAAAATGTATTTAAGAATTGTTTTATATTTCATTTAATATTTATTATCATTCCTTTTATTAAAAGATTTGTGATTTTGAATTGACTAAGTAGTTCTTTGCTAGAGAGGTCGATATACAGTACATGTTGCATTGATGCCAATTTCACTCGGAACCATTCATGTCGTCGGACTCATAATTATGCTTTTCTATGGCAACACTATATAAAAGAGATAATGTGTAATATGAGTAATCTTACTTCTCAACAGGAAGTGAGGTATTTCCTGTTAATGTGCGAGACTTCCGATTAGTCATTAAATAAATAGAAGAAAAGTGCAATAAAACTATGTGTGCTAAAAAGCAGTGCGTTTTTGATTACATAACTATTAGTGTGTTTTTGCACAGCTAAAATAACAGTAAAATGGTCAAAATTAATACAAGCATAGGCTGAGTGTGTGTGTAAGGCTTGGCAAAGCTTAGCCTTCCCCTGGCAACGGACCTGAAACTGAAGTAGAATGATTTCTTGAACGCAATGGCCAATCAGAGGAGTTAAAGTTAGAATTGAGAAAAACAAAACAAAAAAACAAACCAAAAAAACCTCTAAGTGGTTTCAGAGTTCTGCACACTCACAAATCCCCTAATTATAATAAACAAAGTGTAGACACATAAGATATTCATTGTGCAGTCAGCTTAATTGATGCCAAGATGCAGCTTTTTAGTGATTAGTGTGAAGGGTTTTTTTTCCACGCATTCTGCCATACAGTACATTATACTTGTTTGAATGGTTGTCAAACAGTGGTTTGTGAATGTACATGCTTTAATAACAAATAATTTAACAGGAGCACTTATGCTAGGATGTGTAGCTTGTGCACCGGCACGTGAATTGAAACTATTACAAGTAAATGTATGTGTTATTTAAGGGAAACACATCTCCTTAGCCTTATCCTGGAGTTGGTTTACCCTCCGCCGAAAAATACAAGTAATTCAAATCAATTATTAGATAGGGATATTAGATTGTTATTCTATGCTATGTTAAACTAAATTGTGTGTCTTTCGTTAATTATTTTTTAAATGATTATTATTATTTATTATTAAGATGTTAAAGGGTTAGTTCACCCGGAAATGTTTATTCTGTCATTAATAACTGATCCTCATGTCGTTCTAAACCTGTAAGATATTTATTCATCTTTCTTCGGAATAAAAACTGAAACCTGAGAACTTCCTGTCACTCCATTGACAGCCTGCAACTACCACTTTCAAGCCCCAGAAAGGTACTTTACCTGTGCAAAAAAATTACCACTTTATTTACAAAAAAAATAAATAAATAAATCACGCAACAATGTCTGCTCTCGCGGCAACACAATATGTAATTATTTCGTAAATAATGTGGTAAATTATGTATTATTTTTGCACAAACAAAGCACTTGCATGCAAAGCACTTCATAAAATTGAGGATAACACACTGTAATCACATGGTTTACTTTAATGATGTCTTTACTACCTTTCTGGTGCTTAAAAGTGGTAGTTGCTCAAGCTGTCAATGAAGGGACAGAAAGCTCAGATTTAATTAAATAGATATTCATTTGTGTTTCAAATATGAACAACGGGTTTGGAATGACATGGGTGAGTAATTAATGACTGATTTAGATTTTTTTGGGATTAACAATAGTCAATGATATAGGGATTATTAAACAAAAATATTACAAATGTTACAAATATTACTATGCTGGAGCCACTGCCATTTTGAGTGTCCACATGACCTTATAAGATAAGTTCAATGGAAAAATGTGCCTCAAAATCTTTGCAAAACTCCAAAAATGTATAGGCCTTATATTCATTCAACCAACATAATAAACAGTTGCCAGATTAATGTTCAATTGGATAAAACTGAACTTGCTTTTTAGTGCAACTCTCTAGATATTTCACTTTGAAAGTGTCATAAAATTGAAGAAGAAAAAAACAAGAAGAAAAGTAACAAAGATTTCACCATAGGCACATATTTTCCCAATGAGCCTGGGTTACATAGAACTGCATATTACTGTACTTTAACAATCTCAAACATTTTCACAATTATATATACAAAGTGAGCAGTTCACTAATAAACACTTAATATATCAACGCATTGTCATCCCAAGGCGTCATCTAACTGACCATATTGACCATGCTTCAATATCCGATGGTTTTAGCGTCAGTTAAATGACGCGGTTAGGTTTAGGTCTGGGGTTGGGTTAGGGTTAGACGCGTCATCTAAGGATTGCGTCATGTAACTGGCGCTAAAGGGTGCCTAAAGCGTCAGATATTGAAGCATGTTCAAAATGCTTAATATTTCTATGAACAAATTGGGAAACTGCTTCATTACCTCACTAATGCTATTTGTTGGTTGTTTCAAACTATTTCCAAACTTTTGGAGTCAGTAGATAGCCTTCCTAAATCATCGAGGCCTTCACTTTCCTGCCTTGAGTACAGAACATTCCACAGCAGTCATTTTTAGCAATTTTGAGCAGTCTGAACAATGATAAGAACTGATCTGAAGCAGGATAAAGGGAATGATGAGGTGGGACAGTTTCTTCCTGAAAGAGTAGAATCAAAACAATGCAATAATAAGAACAGTGCTCAACAGTGCTTTCCACTCTCAAAAGCTATGTTTTGCTGGCTAATGGAAACTGCGTTTTATTAGCGGGTGTTATCTGCACTGTTGGGCTCTAGTCTATGAAAGATTAATGAGTCTTGTGCTTGTGGGTTTGCCAACCATAACCTGCAGTCTTTGCCCAATGCATAGTTCTCTGTATCGCAGCTGGTCTGCACGAATAGTTAGCCTGTCATCTCTTGCCAATACAAGGCATCAGAGGTGCAACACAAGATGTGAGGGTCAGCAAACAGCTGGAGAGGACTGACCTCTTTAGTTCCTCTCAGTTTCCAAGCAAAAAGTGAAAGACAGCGATCAAGAGACTGACTGGTGGACTATCAAACTCTCTCTGATAGAGCCATTAGGGTGGGAAGAAACCCTTGATCATGGAGTGTTTCCTTTTGTTTTTCTTCAAAAGCTGAATCGCGGAGTTGCCAGCTGCACTTTAATATGCCCACACATGCATCAAACAGAGTAGCAAACTTATTTAAACGAGGCAAACAGATGTCTGTCATTTTAGATAAGAAAAAAAACACCAAAAGTCATGGACACAGTGGATACTTCGCTGAATACAGTCTTTTTTTTCGACAAAGGTCATTCTATTTGTGAAACCCAGCTGGGACACTGCCGGTCAGCTTGCCCTTAGGTGATTTGCACAGAGCTGTCACTCTTGCGGGCCTCTTCCTGCATCCAGATATTGTTGTTGTTCCAACTACGTTGATGTGTTTCCCTTTCCCTGCTTACCAACCTCACACAGGACAAACTGGGTTTAAAGAACTCTTATGAGCTGTACGTACCTTAGACACTGCAGTCTGTGCTGTGCTGGGACCGTGTGTGGGTGTTTTCTGGATGAGAGGTGGCTTCGAGTGGCCAGTCAACCTGCTTCCCACAGGGACTTAAGACTGAGTGCCAAACTTCTTTCTGTAGGGGATCTGAAGGCCGCAGTATCAGGCAAATATGCCAGTGTATGCGGTGCAAATCGGTCACACGTACTTCCTGCCAGCTGAACTGATTAAAATCCATGTCTTCTCAGTTATAGCCACAACAAGAAGTCAGAAGAACTCAGCAAGGAAAACAGAGGCCTAAAAATAACAAGAATGTTCAGTTAGATCATTGCCATTGAAAATGAGTGTGTTTGTGTTTCCACAGAATGTAAAGAAATTACACTAACGTTCAAAGGTTTAAGGTTGGTTTTTAAATGTTTTCGTAAGAAATACCTTTAGCTCATAAAGACTTAATTTATATGACCAAAAATATACTGTGAAACATTAATTGCAATTTATTCCCATTTCCATTATTCCTCTGATGGCAAAGACATTATTCAAGCCATTACAAGCCACTTTTGAAAGACTTTCAATGACTTTCTGTTCTTCCCAGAGAAAATAAATAATAATTATGTCATATAGGTTTGAAACAACACCAAGGTGTGTAAAGAATGACAGAACTATCCCTTTAATACATTAGAAACTAATAATGAACAAACTGTTATGTAGAACCATAAAAAATAAAGTCTGCATCATATTGGTTTATAGAACAAATGCCCAGCTGTCAGGTGGTCAAATAAACTCAAAGTTAACTAGATCCTTAATGTAGACAACCTGGAGGAAATAAGCTTATCTGCTTCCTGATTTTTCCATTGGTCACTCCAGGCAAAGGCTAAAAGGCTTGATCCCCCTTACAATGGACCAGCGGTGGGCATTGTTACATTGTTTTTGCTGAAATCCCACTAGCAAAGTTCCAGGATGTCCAGCTCCTCAAACCCATTCTATCACGAACAGCTCATCTCTTAAAGAGAAACATATTAGTCAGAGTACATTGCTTCTTAATCTAGATAAGGAGCTGATCAAACAGGACAAACATTGCCTTACGATCAAAAATAAATCAGGCACTTGTGTCATTTTCCCCCAACCTTCAATATGCCATTTTATGATTAATACCATGCATCAATATTGAATTTTATTTACTGTCAATAATAGTATTTTCTTACAAATTACATTAATGTGATTAATTTGAAAAGTATAATGGTCAATATTTGACCTTCATGATTATTTATTGGAAATAATAAACATGAACCATAATATCTCTGGAATTACATTTTTTTCTTACAAATATACCAAAGTAAGTGACAGGACACATCAACTTCATTTCTAACAGTGTAACACATCAAATTCTCTAGAATGGGACAATGGGGTATTGATAAGACCCTAGGGGCCCATACTGAGGGAAATGGAAGTCAGTCTTGGAACTCTCTAAAATGTTTCAAAGGGGGGACAGAGCAAACTGGTTGTGGGAACTGAACAGTTGAGCCCATGGGAAAGGGGAGGATTTAGAGTGTCTCTCCATTGTTTTTGTTGCTGATTGGAATCTACAGTGAATAATTATGCTGTAATTGTGCAGAGAGTCTGCACACATCCTGACTGAAGGGCTGAGAGAGGCTGGCAGGCGTCGTTCCTTCTTCCTATCACTCAGCAACAATAGGGCCGTTTGTCCTCTGGGACAAACTAGCACCTTTCCAGCACCAAACCCACAGTCTCCTACCTGGTTAGGCACAAACAAACCAGACGACATCCTCTCTAACACAACTACTGGACGCACGGGAATAGGAGTGCTCGTACAAATACAGCGCCCCGTATTTGCCCCGTATCTGACACATATGATATTCTCGTAAGGCCGCATAATACAATGAACCTCAGAGAGCACGTTTCAAATGCAGTCTGAGCAATTACAATGATTGCGTAATTGGCCAAAGTAAAACTATACATTTCAGAACAGAATGATCCAAACATTACTCTTTAGTTTCTAATTTGTATAATAGCTTACTTCCCTTGCAGGTCAAATGTGTTGTGTCAAAAGCTGCTAGATAAAATGACGTCCATGACAAATCAAGCAATAGTTTTCAGCCAGGGCTCACTAGGGAGCCTTAGAAAACCTCCAAGGGGGCTTCATGATGACTTAAAATTATGTACGAAAAGATTTAGAAACAAGAATTAAATCTGCTACCTTTTCCTCTAAAAAGGTAAATCTCTAAAATTGAAAAATACTTAAAGGAGTAGTTCACTTTAAAAAAAAAAACTTGCTGATAATTTACTCACCCCCATATCATCCAATATGTCCATGTCTTTCTTAATTAAGATTTTTGATGAAAACATCCAGGATTTTTCTCCATATAAATGCACTTTACTGGTAACCAAACGGTTCAAGGTCCAAAAGACAGTTTCATTGCAGCTTCAAATGACACCAGATTATGAATAAAGGTCTTATCTAGTGAAACGATCGCTCATTTAAAAAAAAAATAAATACAAAAGTTTAAGTTTTATAAGCACACTCGCCTTGCTCTGTTCTGAGATGAGCGTTCCTGACTCTCCTGTTTATTGCATGAACCAAATGACTCAAAAATAAATAAATAAAAAATAAACGAGTGATAAACGAGTTCGAACAGGAGAGTGGAGCAAAGCGAGCATGTGAGCTTATAAAACTTAAATGTTATTCATTTTTTGATAGTTTCACTAGATAAGACCCTTATTCATCGCCTGGAGTCGTTTAAAGCCCTTTGAACCAGCACTGAAACTGTCTTTTGGACCTTAAACCATTTGGTACCCATTGAAGTCCATCATATGGAGAAAAATCCTGGATTGTTTTCATCAAAAACCGTAATTTCTTTTCGACTGAAGAAAGAAAGACATGGACATCTCGGATGACATGGAGGTGAGTAACTTATCAGCAAGTTTTTTTTTGTTTGTTTTTTGTTTTTTTAAAGTGAACTATTCCTTTAATCCATATCCAGTGAATTATGAACAACATGCTCAAAAAGGATTGAGAACCATGTGGAACAAAACTTACATTAAGTTTATGGTGATGTAAAAGTTTTAGGGCCAGCTTGAAGCCATGCACTGAATTCAATGGCAATATTTCTTCAAATATAACCTTTTATAGTAAAATGTTTTGGGCCGACAAGCTGCCTGGTATCGGCATTTCTGCTGATGTAAATCTGGATCAGCACTCATAAAGTTTCACTAGCTTGTTGGCAGCAGTGAAGCAAAACTTTTGCTGGAAAATGTTAGGGTTACTTCGATCAAGTACTCTCTGGGGATTTGTGAAGTCTTGACCTTCTGGTTTCTATTAAACAAGCTGCGTGCAGAAAGAAAAAATAATGTACAGCGCAGAAAACAGACAATGCATTGGTCCAACAAAATCTCACAAAAAAGGTACAAAAGCTGTCACTGGGGCGGTACCTTTTCAAAAGGTAGACTTTTGTACCTAAAGGGTGCATATTGGTACCTTAATGGTACAAATATATTTTCAAAAGGTACACTTTTGTATATAATCCGATGCAATAAAAAGGTAGTGTGTACCACAAAATAAATGTATGGAATGTCTATTGTGTTGCCTTACAATGTGATGAGGGTAATCTAATTCATAAACAACTCATATGAGTTGATTCTTTCAGGTGAAACAAAAACATACAGCACAGTTAATTTAATTTGATTGATAAATAAATGACTTTATGAGCTGGCTCTTTGTAGTGAATCAATAACATATGCAATTTGATTGTCCCCGCCATATGTAAGCAATATAGACATTAACAGAAGAAATTTAGCTAAATGACTTCAAATGGAATTGAACGGAATCAAGAGATTGTGAACAGGAATTGAAATGAATCACATCTATATCAACACCCAGCCTATTTATTATTTCTGGCATAGACGTAATTCATGGTAGCAGCAGCGCCATATTTCATTTTGGACTGGAATGAAAACGATGATATGAAGGATAAAGTGTGTTCAATAAAAAATAAAAAAACCTTGAAATTTTAAACTCGATAAAACTGATTTAAAAGATGCGAGCTACGTGATCTAGGACCTTTATACAGTGCATGCCATTGTAAAGCCTATAGTCTGTCCCTCACCTCAATTTCATCTGCATTAAATTGAATATTGCATCTAACCTGACTAAGCTCTATCGTTATGCAATGTGCAAAATTCATATTAGCTGGAAAGATCATTTGACAAACAGTACCAAAAGTACAGGGTAACTTTACATTTATTATGAATAGCCTCCCACACACTTCACCACGTTAGCTGTGCAATTATCACTGACATTTTTGCCATAATGATGCTTATGAAAGCACTGCATGCGTAATGATTCCCGCAATAGAATGAGTTCTCGGTACTGTACAGGTAAATGGACTCAAAACTTACAGATAATTGGTTTTAAATATGAGATCGTTGTTTTGTTCCACATATCCAAAGTGAGTTCTTACATTAACCGGAAAGATTAACACTGGGGCAAAACTTCGCATTCACTCCTCACTCTGTCCATTATTACTAATTGACCATGAAAACAGAGCTTATATGAATTACTGAGCATTCTGAATCTGAATCACTTCAGCCAGGCAAAGTTTAAACATCTCAAGCCTAACTCAAGTGTTGCCTTGCATAGAAGCACTTTTATTCACACAGACACAAACTTAACAAAGGTGGGCTTTCTTTGAGATTCAGTCTCATGAGCATATGACAGGCAGCACAAATGGAAAAAATTATTAAAGCTTTCCAAGTTAGGACTAATATAGTCATGTGTCTGGACGCCTAAGGGCAGAAGATGAATATTAAAAAGTCTCAAAAGAATGAAAGTTGTAAAATATTCTCTCAGCAGTCAAGCTCCACCAGCTGGTATGGTAAATATTACAGTAAGACTCCATTTAATTAGGATGGCAGAATGAAGTAGCAGAAGTGGACTTGATATCACACACAAAAGTTTCCAGATGAAGTTCCCGTCCCTGGGGCCGTAGAGGTTGACAAATGAGCCAAAAGTTTGAGAAGTTGCACATCATTATATAGTAATCTTGGAGGACTTCATGACATTTAATAAAACTTAGTTCTTCTCCGGTCGGTTTCTTTCCAGCGCTGCCCTAGGTGTGAATTCCAGTTTGTTCTTCAGGCTGAGGACCTGTGTACTGTCCTTACCAGTCAGTTCCTCTAATTTTCTATCCTCCCGTAGCTCTGCAATGCCCCTCTCTTCTCCTGGGGCATTTGGGGTGCCCCTGATGAACCACTCAAGCTGGTATCCAACAGCTCCCACCACAAAGGCCACTGGGAAGGTCACATAGGGTGCATAAGTGCGCATGGCAGTCCAGATCAATGGCCACATGGTTGCAGACTCAGAAATACGCCTGCAAAGAAGTAATTTCAATTTCTAGAAGGTTATTTATCTTTGGCAAGCTGACAATGCCTCATCACTCTGGTAACCAGTGCAAAATACAGGATTACAAATAGACATGCTTTCATAACAACCAAGGAAACAATACTGTAAATATTGTTTTTAGAAGGTAGAAGGAATATAATGACATGCACATGGTCGTGTTAATGTGTCCAACTACACACACACACTCTCAGACATTGCTAGTCCATTTATATTTAATGATTATAAAAAAAAAAGTCATGTAACTGTTACAAGGGTACCGGTGTCAGTCAAAGCATGTGTGAAATGGCGCAATAAAAATACATTAATAAGACATAATGGGTTCCTAAAACCATAGAGAGAATCGCGCTGACGATTTGGTTCGTAATATTTCATACATTCGTTAAATTATTCGCGCGTTCGTTTATAAAATCTCATGAGTGTACATACCTCTAATCACCAGGCGATTCCACTTCCTGCCTCTTTGCGTCACTATAAGCAACAATCTGATTGGCTATATGATTACGTCAGAATGACGTTATAAATTCTCATTCGTTCAGGGAAGGGGAAAAAAAAAAATTAATGCAGGATGTCCTGGAAAAGCAATGCTGACACCAAGTGACCAATGCTGAAACCATGAAACACACAGCATGGGTTTGTCTTGAATTTAAGCTTATTTTTGAGCAATAACGAATATAGTGAAGTCACTTTAGACAATGTCTTAGATATCTTGGTTTTATTCAAACAAGAAAAAAGACAAATGAGAAAATATTTCACAAATACAACTGGATTTTTTTAATTGTAATCAAAACAACAGAAAAAAAAAAAATATATATATATATATATATATTCACTATTTCTTGTTTTTATATGAAATAAATGAGTGTGGACCGTTAAAGATAGCATAAATATCATACAAAAAAAAAAAACTTTGGCGAGAGGGAACTAAACATTTCATAATCACAAGTTTTCATATTTTGGCTAATATTCAAAAATAACAGAAATGTTAATTTTTATAAAATCAAAAAGAAAATCTAAAATATTCATACTTCCATGACAAACACCCATTAATTAGTAAATAGTGCTTGTTGCATAGCTAATGGCGTACCACTGATAATTTTGGCATTAGTTTAGTCTTGAATAACTGGATTACATATGTGTGGTAGACTTTTGCGATGAGTGCTATATTTGAACAAATCAGGCTGAGCTGCAGTAAAAGGCACTGTTGAGAGGTTGAAGTGTCGTGCCACACATTCAGAGTCAGGTCATCTGAATTGCTCATGCAGTTCTTTACATCAGTCTGATAACAGCACTAGACAGGAAGTCTTCGTAACTCAACCTCACATTGCCAGTCATGCCGGTGTCTTTCTCTCGGAAGGCTTGGGTCATGCTCTGGAGCTGCGTGCACACCTGAATGAAGCGGTCCAGCTGGAGAACCCCGTTCACACCGGGTGCAGAGTAACGGTTCACCAGTTCCTGAATAAACTGAGGACTCAGATTGTAGCCCATCTGAGATAATGCTGGAAAATTAGAAACACATGGGTAATCAAAAAAACATTACATTTACACTATGTCGTTTAAAAGTTTAGTGTCTACATTAAAAAATAAATAAATAAATAAATAAGTCTTAGGCTCACCAAGGCTACATTTATTTAATCAAAAATACAGTAAAAACAGTAATATAATTAAATCTGTTCTATTTGAATATGTATTAAAATTGAATCTATTCCTGTGATGCAAACCTTCAAAAATCGTTTTAATATGATAATTTGCTGCTCAAGAACATTTATTTTTATCAATCCTGAAAACAGTTGTGATGCTCAATATCTTTGTGGAAACTGCTTTTTTTTTCGGGATTCTTTAATGAATAAAAAGTTCAAAAGAACTGCATTTGAAACAGAAATCTTTTGTAACATTAACAGTCACTTTTGATCAATTGAATGCATCATTACTTAATAAAATTATTAATTTCTTTAAAAAAATAATTCAATAATAATAATAATAATACCAAACCTTTGAACAGTAATATACATAAAACCGGGAATTATTACATTGCTAACCTATGGTTTGACACAAAAATGTATGCTTTTTTAAGGCTCAATTTAACCATTCTAGTGTTGTTTTTGTATCCACCATGTTTTCAATACACTGTCACACACCAGTAATCAATCATGCACTTTCCGACTTATTCATATCTTTTTAATGGCATACACTATATAGTTAGCCTGAGAACCTGATTCTGCTAGTGTTGTTTGTACAAAAAAAATCAATGAGGATAAAAAAAGACACTGCAAGATAACAGCTACATTTTTGAGGTTATTTTAACAGCAATTTTCCATGACGTCTCAAAAGCGAAATCATCCCAACATTAATAATACATTAAATTGCGCAGGATGAAAAAAGAGTTTAACAGCAGAGAACACAAGCTCCGTAACTGTCTTTTCCTTACAAACTTTCTGTGACTGATACATCTTGTGTGTGTGTGTGTGGTCCTAGTAAGCCCAAAGTTATAAAGACATAATGTCCCCCCAAAAATCCCATTCTGGTCCGCATGGGGAAAACAGCTTATGAATCATAAACCAAGTGATTTTTTTAAATCTAAAAATGCAGAAAGTTTTCTGTGATGGATACATGTAAGGAAAATAATTTTCAACCAGGATTTTCATCCAGAATTCCATGTGGAGATACTCTACTGTTCAAAAGTTGTTGTTTTTTTTGCAAAGAATTTAATACTTTTATTTTAAAAATATGATTCTAATCTGTGCTTGATGACTACCACTGTTGTCATAACAGTGTACCATGTGGCCTTAACTGCAAACATGTTGTCTTAGGTCCTTTTTGACCTCTAGTTTACTCACCCTGGTGCATCTCATTGCTGTTAATTGATCCCGATCGGTCCCGGTCGAACTGTTGGAACATTGCCCTCCACTGCTGCAGAAACATCCACAGTGCAGAGAAACCATAGACATCTACGCGTCCGGATTTGGTCTTGTCAAACATATCTGGAAATGAAGACAAAGCACTGATTCCTTCTTCAACTTCCTTTGGCACTTCTATTTTTGTATTTTTTTTGTATTTTTTTTTGACATTGCAGCATTCTGAATTGAGTTATATGGTGACACAAACATCCATTCAATAATTTAGCCTGTCAGGAGGGTTATGCTAACAATGGCAGCACTCACTGAGCATCATAATGCAGGTTTCGTCATTGAAAGCAGAGTTGTTGGAATTCATGAGCGCTTGCTTCAGCTCTTTTCCGTTAATGTAGCCACTATGATCTGTGTCCACAGAAGAAAACCACTGGTAGGCCTCAGGATTCACACCGGGAGGAATGTTACCTACAACATGAAAACGGCCTGCATTAGTGAGTTAGATGCAAATGAATTTCCAACGTGAGATTATTCGGTCAGTTAAAAGCAGATTAGTTAACCATAGTTAACCACAGGTCAAAATAATATTTAGGAATGAACTCAAAAAAGGTATCAAAAAAATACCTTTCGTCGTTTTATGGACTGACAAAAAAAGGATAGAAAGAAAATAAATAAACAGGTCATTTATATTCACATGTGGTCTCCGCTATTTACTGAACGGAGCAGTTTCAGATGCAGCATATGCATAAATGTGTAAACGGTTGTTCATTACTTGAAAAAAGACAGTAGGACAATGATAAGAACAAGCAGGCCTATAGGTCGGATTTGAAAAAAAACATCTTGGAAATGGGCCCAGTGTGAACAAGCCTAGGTTGTCAGTGATATGTCATCTTGGTCCCAGGAGGGACAAGAATAAGTTGTGCAATTTGGTGAAGCGCAGACGGTCACTGTATCCCTCGGGAGGGATAAGCACTGTTCAGAGGACACTCTTTGAATCTGACAGCCTTTCCCACAGGACATTACAGAATACTTACCGACATAAACGCAGAAGGACACATACACACGAACCCTTTCGCTCAGAATTACCACACTCATCACTCTAATTCTCCTGTGGGCACATTCTGTACCAGATCAGTACAAGCTGCTTCTGCTATCCTGCAGTGTCTCAGCATCAGTCATTCAGTGAGGGGCATGTGACACAGCTGCAGTGCAGGAGGATCAAGGACCTTGTCTGCAGCACCTTCATAAATTCCTATCTTTCGTATTTTATTCACAGCCCTCAGCCACTGCATGCCTGATGGAACGGCAGCGGCTCGTGCTGTCTTAGCTGCCAACCCTGACACTCAGACATCATCAGTCAAATCAGCCCGGAGCTGCTGCCTACCACTCCTGACACCATGTTGAAAAATTCACCTGCTGGACCAACATCTATTACGGTGCATTTGAAGATGTATGAAGCTGTGCAAAACATCCTGATAAAAAAAAGTTATACATTCCTATTCCTCCACAGTCTATTAACCAAAAGGTGAGAAATGAACATGATATACCCTACACTACCATTTAAAAGCCCACGAAAGAAGTCTGTATTTATTAATTTAAAAAATATAGGAAACAAGTAATTTTGTATTGTATATTAATTTAAAATATACAAAAATATTTTTTAGTATGAAAATTAATTATATATGAAGAGTTCAGATGCAAAAGCCTCTAAGTGCCATTTGAAATTTTCTTCTAGAATGATCATTTTTATCAAGCTTGTATATTTAAGTTCAGTGATTTCACTTCAATGGCAATGATAATTACCTATTAATTGTTATTTAAGTGAAATTACTGAACTTAAATATACAAGTTTGATAAAAATGATGAACAAAGGTCAAAAGAACAACATGCATTTCTTGGAAATATAACTTTTATGTATAAGTGTTTACTGTCACTTTTGATTATTTTAATGCATCCTTGCTGAAAAAAAGTATTAATTTCTTTCAAAAAAAGAAAAGCTTGAGTGTCCTGTTAATACACATACACAGACACACACACATTTGCATACATACTGTAATTTAGTAATATATTTATATATGCTCCCAATATAAAACTCTAACTAAAACAAAATAGAGTTACACATATCTAACCTGCAGGTGCCTGCTGACTATATGGTCCTCTCTGGGGTTGTCCATAACCTCCGTATGGAGCACCAGGAGCTTGGCCCCCACCGTACGCCGCTCCTGGTCCCGGTTGACCATGAGACCCGTAAGGAGCCCCTCCACCATATTGTTGCCCAAAAGAGGCACTGCCATAATGCGAACCATACTGCCCGCCAGCAGGACCACCTCCATACGGCGCCCCTGGAGCGGGGTGGCGTTGGGGAGCGTTACCACCTGGTCCCGGATAACCCTTTGAAAAACAAATAAGGAAAAGCTTGTATTGGGGAAATGTTTGTATGAAACATCAACAGAGAATCAGCTGTGGCCCATACCAAAGGCAACTATGTCACTAAAACCATAAATAAAGGATTATAATCAAAATGAAAGGAATGTTTAGGTGAATATGTGCATCATGAATGAATGTTTAGGTGAATATGTCGTAATTTACTTACCCTCAAGTTGTACCAACTAAATCTCTTAAGTGGAACACTAATATATATATATATATATATATAGGAACTATAGTTACACATTAACTACAGTACTTACAATAGAGTAATGGTTAGAGATAGGGTTTAGTTTAGGGTTACATACAGTTATATATGGTAATATGTAGTAAAATGTAACTATTTTACCTTAAAATAAAGTGTTACTGTTAGTGGAACTATTTTAGGAAAAATTAGACATTCAGTCACCATTCACCATCAATGGATGCTTTTCCATTAAGTGAAAGTGATTGGTGACTGACTGTCTAACATCATCTTTTCTGTTAAGGAAGTAAAAGTTCGGACCATCACATGGTACTGATACTGGTATTCTCATATTCTTTAATTTAGGTTTTACAGCAGAAAACGGCTTGTTATAGTGAATGATGGCAAAAGTGTAACGTTAACGTTACAGTGGCTAACGTTAAGACCCAAAAGTGACACATTTCCATTTAGCATCTTTGTTGAATGACATTAATTAAGATAAAGATGTAAAACACATAATCATTTCATTAAATGTGACAAACTACTGACCAACACGCAATCAACACAAACAAAACATTAATTTGAATGTATTTCAAATCAGAGTAGCTAACGTTACAGGGCTAACTGACTAGCCTGTAAAAAAGCTTGTTTTAGGCGATTACGCGACCATAGTTATGCATAATTTCCATGTACACCAAACACTAAGAGTTTAGACCGTGAGATACATATGAAAGAATCATATAAACATTAAATATACACTGTATATATACATAAATATTTCAAAAGGCTAAACCCGGAAGAAAGATTTACCTGTCCGTAATAACTCATTCCGCGGAGAATCTAGCAAATGGAGCGATCCGGCTGTATTTAATAAGACCCGCCTCCTGAAGCTGATTGGTTCGCTATCACGTTTGTCAAAGGCGCAGCCTCATATTTTCCATCAGATTGGTTAAAACAATGGAAAACCTCTCATCATATTAGAAACTTTGAGTCACTGTTTATATGGTGTTTTGTTTTAGTAACCATATTTATGAAGGCGGGTGGATAGAGTTGTTATTTTGAGGTAAGAGCGTGATTTATGTATGTGTATTTAATACTGCACATGCCATTAAGACTTATAACAATGTATCAAAATGAATTGTTCAGATATGTGCTCCAAGTGATGTCACGATTGACAATGGACGGAATCTGACCTATTTTATATTGGATCCTCCCTTGAATGAGTTGTACATGTACACACATGTATACTATTTTTCCCCAGTTTAACTAGTTTCTCCTCACAAGAGCCCAAACCAGAGCAGCTAAACCAGTTAATCTCCTTGCCAGAGTATTCAAGTAAGAAATGTATTACCAAAGCTACTAATTCAGTCAAGAAAAGTGAATGATTTTTCTGTTACAGCATCCGCAGCATATACTTTTTTAATGTTATATACGCACACATTACTGTCTTTTTTAAAGACACCATAACGATACAATACAATATGATCATTAATCAATAGTAATTCACAAATAAAGTCAGAAGAGGGCATATATGTATATTTAAATTAAAGGTGCAATGTGTAAAAATGTCGATTATCTATTAACAGAAATGCAATATGACATCCATAACTATGTTTTCAGTAGTGTATAAAGAACTTGCTTAATAAACCGTAATGTTTTGGTTTTTTTTTTTCCTTAGAATGAGACATTTATATCTCCATAACCACGGGACTCCCCTTCTATGAAGGTCGACATATTGTGACGTCATGTTTCTACCGTAGCCGAACGCAAACAAACAACGCGAACAAAGAACACGTTTTTTTCACTACCTTGAAAGAGAAGCAGAAGAAAGTTGGAAGCTAGCCATAACACCGTGAGTAGTTACTTTTCCGTTTTGAGTGGTGTAAAATATGTAGTTAGTTCTCCCTCAATGTATTATGGGTTTGTTATGTGGGGATAAATGTGCTGGTTACGTTCGTGAGACAGCTTATTATTTACTCATGTCATTGACCGTAAGAGTATGTTACAGGAATCACTAACCCGTCGATCTTGGAAGAGATCTAAGTCGATCGCGAAAAATGACATGATTGTAACAGCGCGCACCTCCGCATCCCATAGATTGGGCTCATGCAGATGCGTTGAGTTTAAACAAGGCTTCACGCTTTAACCAGTGCAGCCACAGTAACAGCTTATTAGCCAACTAAACTTTTTGTACCCTGTTAGAAAAAAATAAATAGCTGCATAGTTTAATGTGGTTCTTCTCCCTCGTTGTATTATGGATTTGCTACGTGGGGAGAAATGTGCTGGTTACGTTTGTGAGACAATCAGCTGATTACTATTATTATATTAAATTATATATTAAAGCAGCGCTCAGTAAGACTGGAAACTTCTTTGCTGTTTTCTCGCAGGTTTCTCTCTCGAGCTCCCCCTACAGTTTCGGAGTATATATACATGAGAAAACTGTCGTAAACTCGTTGTCAACTCCCCCTCCCATCTCGTTCAGGCAGGCCATGTGAATTTGTTTTCAGAGAAGCCGGCGAACAAACGGATTTTGTCCCCACCACTTTTGAAACATCTCGCGGCACAGATGTACCAATGCAAATAAAACATCTCCAGTTAACAGCATTCGTTTCATTTGTTTGTTAAATAACAGGCGATCTAGCACTGAAATGTGTTGGCTTCTCTCAGAAACGCGCTTCAATCCGTTGCGGAGATTCTTTCCGGTGAAATCACAAATAAAAATGCACACAAACGTGTCCCTTTTTCTCATGGTTTCTAATTCCTCTCTCGTATATTTTCCCCCACTCATCAAAACATATAAAACCACTGATAAACATTATATCAATTCAACCACTGATAAACATTATTGGTTTTGATGAGGGGGAAATAAAAACTATTCGAGTGCGGAACCTCTGGCCGGACCATCACTGTATTGTGCTCATTTTTATTTATGTGCATCAGGAAGCTATGGACATCGTCGTTCAAAATATTACCTACTCGAAAGAGAAAAAAGAATGAATGCGTTACCCAGCACTTTTGAAAATGCCCTTCCGAATGCGTCTCTGTCCCCAGCACATTTCAAACCAAACTGACGCCCGAGCCACTGCGGTATGATTCTCAGAACAATATTATTCAAATGTTGAGATAGTGTATATTTTTATTGTGTTACCAAACGTTATCAGTAACATTATGGTTAAAAATCAATAATACTATAAGAAATATTTCCGCTATTTATTTATTTTTAGTTTAGCCTACAGCTAGCTACTTTGATTATGCATTATCAAAATACATGTTACGTTACATTCATCATTTTTCTGGTGATCCGAGTTGTCTATCGTAACGATTGACCAAAGAAAGTCAAACACGTTTAATTTGTTTATTACAAGTTTGTTTATTTTATTATTGAAGCTTGAGACCGGTGGTACTGGTGGTCTGGGGTGCCTCGGAGTTGATAACACTTGCCAACGCTTGTAGCTAAAAAGGAAAAAGAAAATGTATCAATCTTTTATCAACATATCATTTATAGACAAGGTCAAAATAGCACAGATGGAGTTGCATGTGTGAAGCTGCAATGCAATTTCTCGTTTACTTATAGTTCTGTTTGTGTAAATGTGGGTAAATAAATATAAAAAAGTTCCATTATTAGCTAGCAGCTCTCGTGTCGGTTTATGCATTATCAAGTCAGCAGCACAGTATAACGTTACTAATTCTGAGGCTGACGACAAGCTAAACTAATGCATAATTTGTAGAATTTCATATCGATTTATAGGCGATCTGAGAAACACAAATAAACCCTGATAGAGGAACGGACAAAACACTTACTTACAGAAAACAAGCAAGTTTGTTTGCTAATGAAAATGCTAACATCTAAGTTACAGTATCTAACGTACTAGTAAGCCGGTAACAGACAGCGAGCATAATATAATAAAAAAAAAAACAGACAATAGCAAACATCCCGACTCCCGAGGTCACAATTACAAGAAATACAAACATTAAACACAGTTTATTATAAAGATACTTACAAGTGCAACAGCAAGAAGGCCAGGTCAGCATCGGTTTTGCAGGCTTCGCTTTCTTTCAGTTCTCTCTATTCTGAAAAAGCCGGTCCGTTTCTCTTCTTCTTCGTTTCTCTGATAAACACTTCCGAGCTGTCTTCTTCTTCTTTTACATCAGCCATCACGAAAACTTGAAGAATTCAATATCTATCGTTACCTTTTTCTTATAGCTAGCCGGCTCCTGGATGGCCGGGGGCGTGTACGCATGCGTGTGCGCGTATAGTGCCGTAAAGCAATTCGTTACCTCGCGAGACCTGAAATCTCACGATACTTCCTAACACTGAGGCCGGCGAGCCGCCGGCCCAAAGTTGCAAGGGTGGTTTTGCGGCTCACAGGCACCAGGGGGGTGCGAGATGATCACCATTCAACACGAAATCAGTAATATTAACATTACAATGACTCCAAAGCTGTTCAGTTAAGGTAAAAAAAGTTACTTAGTTCTGCTTTAAAACCCTTGATCCTCATCTGACTGTGGCTTTGTAAACTTTATCCATGATGTTGTTTATAATGGACTGCGGTACAGAAAATGTGACAATGTTACACACTCTTGGCTTACTCTCTGCTGTCTCAGGCGACGATATGGTTGTCCCGATTTAGCCACTGTAGCTTCTTCGAAAGGGAGGGGTGAGCAGTGGGCTGAGCCCTTAGTGTAAACTCACAAGCGAACCGCTAGATGTCGCTAAAAATCACACACTGCACCTTTAAAAGGAGGGATTTATGTAATTGTAGTTGCCCATATATAGCTCTACGTCTTGAAAATACAATGCATTGTTTCAAAATAAATCTAAACTTTAATCATCAACTGGATTATATTGGGTTTCGTTTTAGACCACTTGATTTATAATATAAACATAAAATGTAATTTTAACATAAAAATAAATTTTTCCAGTAGTAAAAAAAGAAAAAAAGAAACATCACGTGACTCACGTCATCATCGTTTCTCTTTTTATATCACAAGAAGAACATCATACACCAAAATATACAGATGATTTACAGTTTACTCACTGTTAGTCATAGCAATATCAAATAAACAACAACAAAAAATATCCAGGGAATAACATTAAATGGATTAACACATATTATATACTTTAATTTTTCAGTTTTAAAAAAAGTAATGTAAAACGATCAACAATCTTGGCAACATTAATTGTAAATTCTGTGCCTTAAATGTCGATGTAGCTTCTAGTTACACTCTCCAAATTGAGAGACAACTAATTTAAGGCAAACCAATACACAGTAATAATGTGATTTGGTGCTTCGTAGTATAGGCTATTTAGTAGTGCTTTACCTTGAAGAATGTGCTGCTAGTGTTGTTGAATTGGGAAATCTGAAAGCATGGTTTTTGTAAACAATTTACATTAACTTTTTTTTTTTTTTTTTTTTTTTTGAACAAAGACATCCCAGTTCCCATGGTTAGTTGGCCTTCTGTCTGGCTTTTAAGGGTGTCTGAGTTGAAGAATGCTGTAGTCCCAATGTTTGGTAGTTGATCTCAGACTTAAATAAGTGTGGACACTTTTTCATTTACTGTATTGGGCCAGGGACAGGAATAGATGCGTTCTCATCTCACCATGTTGTTATATGTGTACACTAGGGAGCAGTGTGCTCCTTTAGTGAATGAGACTCAAAAATACCAACGTAATAACCTTCTCATTTCAAATTAAAAAGGACACTCTGAAGTTATCATAGATAAGTAATTGTCCATAAAATATTTTAAATGCAATATTCCTTTGATGTATTGGCATGGTTGGATTATCTACATTATTGTCCAAGATCCAACATGTCCACTACCGTTTATCACACCTGCTTGTTCCAGAATCAGAGTTCAGACCATTACTAGGTCGGTCCTGAATGCTTTTCATCTTTTGCGGCTTTTGCCTTTTCCAAGTTGGCGATGTTGTGGTTGGATGAGGCTGTTGGATCCACTCTTGTGTATTTACGCTTAAGCCCTATATTCTGGTCTCTCCGTCTGCGCAGGCATTTGCGAACTTTGTTGTTAATCAGGTAGAATATCTCACAGATACACATGAAGATGCACACAGAAGAGGAGACCACCATAAAGATGGTGAAGATTTTCTTCTCTGTAGGACGGGCGATGTAACAGTCAACAGTGTTTGGACAAGGCGCTTCAGTGCATTTGGTAACATTTGGCATGTCGAAATGATAAATGTAGTACAAAATATAGAGGAAGCCTGCATCGAAGCCAGCTTTAAACAGCAGGCTGAGTATGTAGGTGTACCACAGGCCTCCACGCCTCCTCCCAGGGTTGGCGTACAGGTGTTGACCCTCATGAAGAGTGGCGTACTTCTCATCCTTCTTTTCACGATACTTTACGTGAGCCACTACCATGAGAGATGGGCACGTGACGAAAATGATCTGCAGAGCCCAGAGACGGACGTGGGAGATGGGGAAAAATTTGTCGTAGCAGACGTTAGTACAGCCCGGCTGGGCGGTGTTGCAGACAAAGTCTTTCTGTTCATCATTCCACACCTGTTGAACAGCCACCACAAACACCAAGATTCGGAAGATGAACACTATGGATAGATAGACGCGGCCGAACACAGTGGAGTATTGGCTGACCCCGCCGAGCAGGACTTCTAGAGACATCCAGTTCATTTTGGCAGGTGTCTAAGTCATACCAAGATATGAGTCCTACAAACAAACAAATAAATTTGGTTACCAAATATGTGGTTAAATTTGGTTACCAAATATGTGACCCTGAATCACAAAACCAGTCACAAGTAGCATGGGTATATTTGTGGCAATAGCCAACAATACATTGTACGGGTCAAAGTTATTGATTTTTCTTTCAAAAATCATTAAAGGAGCTGAATGTAAGATTGTGGTTAAAACTGGTACTGCAATCAGTTTCAATTTGCTGTAGAGCAGTGTATCCCCTACCCCTCCCCCCTGACTCGAGGTTGCCAGATAGGCTGCAGGATCCAACATTTTTTTTATCCCACACGTTGGTATCTGCAGCTGTGGTAACTAGAGCAGAGCTGGCAACATGGATGCCGCAACAATACTGACTTCGTGATTGGTAGAAAATGTATTTTTGGCTTATGTGGATGAAAGACAACGAATCCACTTGCTTCGCTGCAGGAGGCCACGCCTACCGGTAACAGAGTTAATGTAGTTAAACAACAAGTCTAGTGACGAGTCTGACCGGGATTTTGAGATCTCTCAAAATCCAGATTCAGCTTTTTCAGCGTCATCTGAGGATTTTTTTACAAACAAAAAATACATAAATATCTCATCTCAGGGGGTCTCGTGTCTCGTCTACTTTCACTTTTAATTTATAAAAAGAATATGAGCTATACACATTTGCAAATCCCACTATTAAATATCCACTTTTTTTTTTTTTTTTTTTTTTACTTTCAAACTTTTATTCGGAATCAGAATGGCTTTTTGAGGATTAAGTTGACGGAGCTGGAAATAACAGCCGTGAATAACAGTATTTAAGGTTATTATGAAAACACTCACATGACAAGGATTCCATGTCAAGATGCAATTAAATAGTTTTTTAAAGCAGCAGTGAGATTCATTTTGTGGAGGCTTTCATATTTGATTATTTTCCAGCAGCCAATATCAAGCAATGTTTTTAAACAACAACAATACATTTGCAATTTATATATTTAATTATACTTTCGTTGATTAACATTATTTGTATTCTGCATAGCATGCCCAATAATGTATTTACCATTGGATGTTATTTGCAACACCATTATGCTCAAAACACTACATTAAAATAGAATTTTTAAATATATTTACATGCATCTTCTTCAGAGTCAAAACTGAAAAAAAAAAAACAAACAGTTTTGACTCTGAAGAAGAAGCATGTGCGTCGAAACGTTAGTCATTGTTTACCAATAAAATATATTTAAAAATTCTGTGCTCCAGTCCTGCTCCTTGGTCTCAGTTAGACCTTGGGTCCTTGTCCTCAGATTGTTGTGTCCTGTTCCGAGAGCACTGGGTAGGCTGAAGCGCAAGTGATTGCTTTCGATTGTTCTACTACATTAAAATAGTTCACGTAGTGCGTTGTTTTCTTAATGCATACTCTTCTTTCAGTAAACTCTGCATAGCCAGGAGTCTTACTATTTACAGTTAGCAGATATTACTTTCTACAGCGACTAACACAAAGCACTTTAGTTTAACTTCAAGTTAAATTGTGTAATTTAGAACGTACTAATGCACATATTTTTCTCTTTAACAATCAGATAAATATCACTTACTGTATGTGCATTTATCCCTATAACGACGAAAAACCTAATATAGCAGAAATACATCATATATGTCCTTACCTTTTGGAGTTTGAGAGTTATGACGCTTGTGTATACTGGAATCAAATGGAAAAGTTCTTCCTGTTTGACATTCAGGACAGACTTGATTTTTTTGGAGAGCTGTGCCCAATCATATCCATGACTCACCAGAGTAAACCTTAAATGAAACCAAATGAAAAAAATTAAACCTAGTGAAACATCATTGTGTCTACTTCACTTTACAGTGAAGGGTTTGCTATTATAATTAGTTTTGTGTAAAAACAAGGATTTAATAAAGTAACTTTAATAGCTAGTCGAGGTTGTTTAAAACTAAACAAACTTTAAAACGGTTCAATGGATATCAATAATTTTGTTACTTATAGGTGTGTGTGTTTGTTGTGGGTGTATGCAAGTCTGTGTGTCTTTGCTCACTACTGTTCAAGTGCTTCTCTGCATGAAATGTATAGAGTCACCATTATGTTGCTGCGATAACTAAATACTCATAAAGCTAGACAACATTTCCAATACTTTTTTATTAGATATTTGACCTGCCACGTTTATGGTGCATCTTGATTAAAGTCGGTTATTCTTGCTTTATATTGTCACACATAAATACTCGTGGGGTAAAAAAACAACAAAAAAAAAAACAAAAACGCAGCAAGAGGAAACAAAATCGAAACTAAAGTTCAAAACAACCGCAGTCATTCAAACTGAAAGTGTGTAATAATAGCTTGCGGGAGTTTTTGGAATCCTAAACAACATTCCATAAGTGTGGATCACTGTATGTTTGTCTTGTGTTTTCATTCGACAAGTGATGACACTTATTGGCCTGTTTTCACAGATTAAGTCAAGAGTAGTCCTTAGTTTAATTAGGATATTTAAGTATCTTGTATAAATGTGCCTTAGAAAAGGAAAAAAAAAGGAAAAAAAAAAAAAAAAAAAAAAACACTGACGTATTTTAAATGGGTAGTATAATGCCCTTATTACAAGATGTAAAATGAATCCCTGATGTCCCCAGAGTGTGTGAAGTTAAAAACCCTACAGATATTTTTTTATATAGCATGTTAAAGTTGTCACTTTTTGAGGGTTAGCAAAAAACGCTCCTGTGTCTGGCCCATTAAATGCAAATGAGCTGCAACTCCCGACACAGTGGGCGGAGCTTCAAGAGTGCAGCTCTGATTACCTTATGCAGTCACAAGCTAAAATGTCAGAAACTGTTCTGCCTTTTATGTTTAAAGTCAGACAAAGATGTAGAGACTAAGAAGAAGTGACAACATGTAGAATGAAACAGGACATCTCTGAATAGTTAGTTGATGAATTTATGTTGCTGATGTGGAGTTAACTGTCTTCACTTAGGATATTTTGTCAGTATAATTTATAAATCACTCATATAGAAAGTGTTGTGAGATGCACACAGAGTGACTTTCAATTGCATGTGAAAAGATATGCTATAGTTTAAGCTGACTCACAAATGTGCTCTTCTACAACTCTTCCTCTTATCAACATGGACTGTGTGTTCCCGGGGACGGGGTTTATGTACATTTTAGGGTCAGTGATGTCACTAACCCGGGAGGATGCTTGTGTAGTTCCTTCCCGCCGTTTGTTGTAGTCCTTAAAAAAAAAAAAAAAAAACGATTTCTTTAAAGGGGGGGTTGACTGCTTTTTTTCTTTGCATGATTGTATTTATGGGGTGCAATATAACATGTATTTGTGGTTTTTCTTTTTTTAAAAGTCTTATTTTTCATAAACTTCACCTTAATTGTAAGCCGCACTCTCCTCTGTCCCCTAAACCAGTGTTTCCCAACCCTGTTCCTGGCACACCAACACTGTGCGTATTCTTTGTCTCCCTTATCAAACACACCTGATTCAACTCATCAGCTCATAATCAGATGGGTTAATGAGCTGATGAGTTGAATCAGGTGTGTTTGATTAGGGAGACAAAGAATACGTGCAGTGTTGGTGTGCCGCCAGGTACAGGGTTGGGAAACAGTAGGTGTTTCTCAATGTCAAGGATACTTCCTTGGCAGGACGGGTCCTTCCAAGTCATTTCCTTCAGAGGCTAGGCAAGGGTCCTCTTTAGCGTTCGAAGAACACGTAAATGGAACAGGCTAGCAAGTGCACGTCATTGCGTCATTACATCAGTGAAAGGTCCGCTTTGGCGCTGCAAAAATCATTGTGCTGGTGTACTGCACTGTTTAAATACACTTGACAGTCCTTATTTTGTCTTGTCAGTCCTCATAGAAATAAATAAATAAAGGGATAATGTATAACCAGGCGGTTGTTATAGTGAATACAACCCCGCAAACTCTAAAGCAGAGGGGTCTTGATCAGCCGGTTGTATTCGCTGTAACAACCGCCTCGCTATACATTTTCCCACTTATAACATGGCTACCTACCAAATCAATAATTTGACACAAAATATTGATTTAAAAAGGAGTTTATTCATTCAAAAACGATTATATTACCGGAGTTAACAGAACTACCTCCATAGCAACATGATCTAACGTTAGCTGTTAAAACACATGCAATTGTAAAATATGTGACCAACAAAAAAAGGCTATGAAGTAAAAATTAAAAAGTTAATCACCAGTAAAAGGGAACAGCTTTAAATCCCCTAAGCAAATTTGAGCCGATATGTGAAATAGTTTAACAAACATTAAATAAATGGCTAAACTGAAATTATACTTGCTTACATTTGAAAGCATATTGCCGTTATCACTCCGACTCCGCTAACGGTCGACATTTTTTTATTTTTTGAACAAGATAGCAAAGCTGCGCATAGGATTGTGGGTGATTTAAGAGCGCGAAGGCTACACATATGCATCCTTTCCTGTGTATGGGATATTTTCCGAACGAAGGACTCAGTCCTTGGTTGAAAGTCTGAGGATCCTTGACATTGGAACAGTCCTTCGACGGACGTCGATGACGTAGCATCCTCGAAATTCCGGCTTCCGAGGATCCTTCCTTGACATCGAGAAACGCCTACTGCCCTAAACGACCGGTCGACTTCCTGATTCTATGAAACCACTCCCTCAGAAGCAGGCAGTGGGCTCAGATTTGTTAGTTTGGCCCAGTGTGTTGTGACTGGCTAAACTGTCGTTCACGTTGTCCAGAAGATTAACGCCCATTACCTTTACGGGCGAAACGTGCAAGTCATGAGCTCCTGTCCAGATGTAAATATGTGTCGAACTGCAGTATCAGAATGAGGCAGAATCAGACAGAGAAAGCGGCGATGAAGAGAGTCAAACAGAACCTCACCACACATGGCTCTTACTAAACATTTCTGAATGATAATTTGCTACATTTTTACAACAACTTTATACACGTTTGTTTTACACAATAGCATCTGACTGGCAACAATAGCAACTGACTGGCTACTAACGTTATACTCAAACAGCGTTGGCATTAGTTTACGTACTTGATCAAATCGAAAATAACGTCATAAAGCATATATACATGAAAAATATGTTTAAAACATTAGTACTTATACAAAATTCAGGTCCATAATGTTTGTACGCGTTTGTCGTAGACACAAAATAGCATAACTAGTAGCCTAGTGGCTATGAAGCCAGCACTGGCATTTGAAAAAAATAAATAAAACACAATGCTACGTCTGGAATTACACATGCAAATACATTTAAAATGATGACGTCTTAGCCTACTTACAGGTTGTGGCCCAACAACTGCTGCCTCTGGTTTTAAAGTTGGAACTGCTTCATGTTTTAGTAACAGTTTCTTGTTGAATCCAGTGTTGAATTTGTGGAGATTCTGGAAGCTGTCTTCCGTAAAATGCGCAGCACAGAGAGCTAGATTACGATCGTCATTTTCAGGAACATAATCAAACATAAATTGTATCCATTGTTGACGAAGTACAGCGTCCGTGGAAAGACCGAACATAACACATCGACGTGCCGCAGAAATATGCGCATGCCCTTTTTTGCTTATTCCAGAGGGAGGGGTTGATGCAAATGTGTGGGTTAGTGACGTCTAAAATCCAGCTGTAGTCCCAATCAAGTCGTTTTTTTTGTTTTGTTTTTGTAGGCAATATACTTCCTGATTTTTAAAAGACGACATCTCTGCTTACACTGAACTTTCAGCACTGCAACTTTGCAGATACTGTTCATGCACCAACAGCAACATTACACACTATTTAAAATGAAAAAAAAGTGAAATCGCAATCAACCCCCCCCCCCCTAAAAGCAAATATCTCCCTTTGCTTTGAACTTTAACTTTACAGATGTTGTTTATGCTCAAACGGCAACATTACACACTAACTAAAGTTAAAAAATTGAAATCATAATCAACCACCCTTTAAAGCTATACTGTTTCAGTGCAAGATGCTTTCAGTTAAATCAGCTCAAACATGCATTTTAGTCTGGGAGTATATCAGGTGAATATCATACAGCTGGATATGATTAGGTGCAGATATACAGGTAGACAGTGGGAGAAGATGGGAGCAGGAAAAAAATACTTGTTGTATCTACTTCAAAGACTCACAAAGGACATGAGGACAAAGTAGCTGAGAGTGCAGTGGGCTGAACCGCTATTTCTTCCTTTAGGCTGGTACTGCCATTGTTATAGCCTAGTGTGTCTGTGGGTGAATATGAACGAATATTTGTCATGTTTTTTTGTTTTTTTGTTTTTTTCTGCAAGGCTCTCCGAGAGTAATTGGATACAACTTTCACCTCCGTGCTGTCAAACTGAGTTTGTTTTCAAATATAATGCCTCGGGCTGTCAGCTTGCATACCCCATACCCATCTTTGAGAGTTTGCATGCAGATGTACAGTACAGTATTGCAAGTTTGTTTATCTATAACACATAACAGCTTATGCAGAACATGTTTCTCGAAATCCTCACTGATTTGGCATGTTTCTATTTTCAAACTATGGCCTGATCTCCCTCTCCTCCTTCTTGCCACAAATTTGCCCACAACAGTTGAATTCAAATCAATACCCTTGCACTGATTTGTATTTCCCTTTAGATTAAACTTCTAACATGTTGAATACAGAGCAGGACTTGCCATGACTTTTTCATAACCCAGGTATACACATTGTTAGCACCATGTTACCCATGTTTCTTATACAGTGATGCATAAAACATGGTATTATAAAAGCTGTAACTCTTTGTACTTTATGCCCTGTC